TTGCATCCTGCCAAAAAACTAGGAGCAGTTTTATCTCCTTTATGGATGAGTACAAGTAACTAGAGGTTTAACGAAGTAAAATGACTTTAAAGGACTACCAGGGAATCACAGGTAGAAATAAAATTATAATTCATTTTGATGTTACATCAATATCAAAGAATGAATAGCCAGAAAAGAGTGAGTTTAAAATGTAAATACATTGAGTACTATAAAAGACCTCTGTAATTTAACAGGTTATTTTAACATCCACTCAAATTGATTGTGCAGGGAAAAGAAGAAGAAGTGGCAATATTCTCCTAGAACAGAATATATCAATTCCCTTTCTATTACATTGTTTTCTCTACTTTAAAAACTATAAGATTTGAAACATCTTGGGAGGAGTTGGCTTTAGCGGGGAGTAGTAAAGAAGATTCTGGTAGGGTCAAAGTCACAGCTGGAGTGAGTTTAAGTAAACTTGTCCCTTGCTCTCTCTCCTCTAGCAAAAAATAAAATGATGGATTCTCATAGACTATCGTTAAAATACTTTCCTTGCTATTCACGAGGTCACCTTCCACTTGTACCAACAATCAATATTTCTCTATTATTCACAGTGAAGGAAGAGGAATCTTGCTGTGGATTGTTTCAAAATCTTTCTATTTTGGAAACTCTAAATTTTGAAAACGATTTGCATTCCCGATTATACTTAGCGTCAGTTGATGTCCAGAGGAAATCTCAGATATTTACTAACAGGAGAAAGTTGGGCTGGGGTTTAAAAAAAAAAAAAAAAAAGTCATGTATAATTTCAAAAAGCGAAGTGATCACCTATAGAAAACAGACTATCTAGTTTATATATAGTTGATTTTTGTGAGCACTTTTGTAAGTGTTTACGCATACAAGTAGATGTGGCACTTTTATTAAAGAAAAGGCAGTACACAAATATTAGTGCTTTCTAACAGACTCCCTCAAGCTTCTGTTCCAATGCATTTCAAGCATTCTTTTTTCACAACACAACTTCATCCAAACCTATCCAAATGTCCAAGTTATATGAAAAAATCATAGAATCTAAATTTTTTTAAAGCAGTTTTCAGTTTCTTTTTAGAGACACATGCCAGAAAGCTTTATTTACATTTAAAACAATTATTTTCCACTGTTTTATTCAAAACTTTTAAAAATATTTTAAAATCCTATAGCAGTATATTTCAAAGTAATCTGCTTGTCTCAAAAAGGCAAAGCAAGAAGTAAAGAAGACTAAAAGAAGTAATTTCAAGCACAAATCCAAAAGGTATTTCCATTTACCAAAAAAAAAAAAAAAAAGTGAACTGCAAAGAAAAACTGAGTTTTTAAATTGCTTGCTTTTTAATTTGTTCTTAATGGTGGCCGATAAAATTTGATTACCTCAAACTCCAGGGGTGATGTTGAGCAAGAGTGTACTTATTCAGAATACATGTATCCATATATTGAAGGTTTTGTTTAAAATTCTTTTTAATTTAGAACATTTTCAATAACCTCTTTAAAAACTAAAATATATTGACGCGTATATACATTAGTTACAGCCCACAACTTAATTTACCCCATATACCTATACATATATACACTATCCTTTAAAACCTGTAAGCAATAGCTGAAAACAGAAAGTCAAATTAAAACATATGTGTGAAAAATTCAGCAAAATCATTTTTGCTTTTTCTGTATGAATCACCTGAATACTGTCATATTCAATTTTCTATGTCATTTTCCATTATAACTTATAACTGTCTTTGAAAGCAAACCTAAAAATGAGAACTGTAACACCTCTGGAGAGCAGTACATTGCATTTCTGGGCTCTCTAAATCTTTCCTGAAATTCAAAGCCAGCTTTTCCAGGAGTGATTTACAAATAATCCACCTTGCCTCCTGAACAAATTGAATTCCTATATTCTATATAGGAATATATTCTATATATTCTATATTCAATATTCCTAATTCCTAATGCCTATATCCTATATTCCTAAGAATGTTTACTTCATATGAAAACAGACTACATTGAATCAAGAAAACATTGGGGCCCGTTTTGTCTCATTTTCACTTTTGTAGATTAATGAATTATTAAATTCCTTCAATAATTTATTCTGCAATCACAATAAAATCTTTATTTTAATTATCTATTCTGAAAGTAAGTCAGAAAAAATAGACAATTATTCAATTTTCACTTAAGGAAAAGAAGACCAAAGACTAAGTTTCTAAAGTGCCTACTTGAATTTGCATCCTACAGTTTCCTGTTCCTGTATCCTGTATCTCTGAAACACATATATTTCTGCATCAGTAATCAAGGATGGAGAGGAGGAGAAAAATTAAATGATCCGGCCTCAGGATGACACTACATAGTTAGCTGGTTTGATCAGCTGATACTTTATTTCCAATCTTCTCAATCAATCATATTTTTCTATTTCTGATGGATAAAAATTCAGCTCAGTTACAATTCAATTCTAGGTGTTTTTTTTTTCTCCAAAAAAGGATGTGGCATCTTCCTGTTTGAATAGACTTTCTAACTTCCATTCCATTACTGAAAATTAGAGTCCTAAGAATCTCAGAAACCACATAGCTAGTAGAATAAAGAAAGTAAAGAGACACATAAATATTCAAAGAATTCCTCTTTCTACTTCAAAGAAGATAGATTTTTTCTGTTTGTTTCTTCATAATAATATATATTATAGATCACCCGGTAAGCACTCGAGAAGCCAGAAAATAACAAAAGATAATCCTATTTTCCATCTATTTTACTTCGATTCAACTCAGTGCTTTGTGTTACCACTATCTCTCATAAATTACCATTTTCTCACAAAACCGACATCAAATCTTAAGGATATATAATTAAGGAAATATAATGATATATATTCCACGGAACTGCTAGGTTATGGAGAGTATACAAGAATTTCAACTTGAAAGACAGAAAGAAAGAGAGAAAGAGAAAGAAAGGAAGGAAGGAAGGAAGAGAAGACTAAACTCATTTGTAAAACAAATAAATTTTCCATCTGAAGACATGCAAATAGAGTTGCAACCTCTTTAAGGAGCAGATGTTTGGAGAGAGCAAAAGAGACATATCAAAACATAAGGCATAAGCTAGATTGTGGGCGGCAATCTTCAGTTTAGTCCATGTAAACCCCACGGCTAATGACAGTTTTGACATAACTGATAATTTGATTCAGGAACATCAAGTGTTGGGGCCCAGTGGTGACAGAAGCAGAAAGCCTTTTACAGAATCTCACAAATGTACATGGATGAGAATCGAAAGGAACCTCAAAAGATCATTGGGTCCATCCCTCTGTCCTTGGCTGAACTAAATAAACATCTAGCTCTCTTCAACAACTGATAAGATGAAATTTGAAGTCAGTAGCATTGGAGAAAAGGCTTATGATTTGGATTGACAGCATCCTTTTTTTCCAACCTTCGCCTCATCTCATGACGATAGATATCTAAGAGAACGTTATGTCCATTACTATCGAAAGTACCAGGGTGTTTAGGAGGGAAGAGTAAAAGGGAATGAAAATGGTCACATAAATGTGGAGGTAGGTGCACATGTGTGAGAATGTGCAAAGGATATGTATGCTTGTAGTAAGTATGCGTATATATAGTTTATTTCCCTTAAGGTCTTAAAAAAAAAATCTTGTGATTGTAGACTTTGTATTTCTTTGAAAAGATAGCTGAAATGGTTGCCATTTCAAAGCCTAAGCCAAAGAATTTCAAAACCATTTTAAAGCATTCTGGAACTGCAAAACTAGCAAAATTGTCCCCCGTGAGAGGGCAGTAGGGGACCAAGCACTGGGCAACTTTTCCCTCCCTGTCCATCCAGGACTGGCCCTTGCTCTCACCCCTACCCTGCAGTCTGCCATAGGGGCAGGGGCAATGGAGGACACCGAGAGCTCGCATAGGGGCTGCAGCAAGCTCCTCTGATAAAACAGGGAAACCCGGGCTCCCTGGGGCAATGAGCCACTTCACGGGTTGACAGTTGTGCTGAGAGGGGCAAGTGCTATTTGGCAAACAAGCTTTCACTTTTGGCTTCCTACAAAAGGAGCAGAAAGGGGGAGCTGTCCTGGTTCCCAGTGCCCACAAGGCCTCCCTCTCTTGGCCATTGAGCTTGGACCACAGCAGTGCGGAGGGTGCACGGTCGTTATACGGTGTGTATATGTTTGTGTAACATTTTGCAAGCGACTGTCAATGTATCTGTCTGTATGACAGAGAGACGCCCTCTTGCAAAAATGCATCCGGGGTCCACCTTGCTAGGTCGCCCGCGTTAAGATGCTGTCACCGTCGCTTCGTCAGATAGCTCCCACCGGAATGATTTATTTATGAGGCTACAGAAGTGAGAGATGGAGCGTCTATTCAAGTTTTCTGCCTGTGACCTCAGTTCTTTAAAGGAAGAAAGTGGTTGGGAGGGGAACAGAACCTGAAAGGGGGTAAATTCTCCCTCTAGATTGTGAAATGTAACGGTTGAGAGACCAAGATTTGGCCCCTGACTGTTAGGATTGGAAGCCCATTCTGCGACTTAGCATTAGCTTGTGCGCTTTAGGTAAATCTCTTAATCACTCCGTAACTCAATTTTTTTCATTGGCAGAAGGGGAAAAGTAACAGCGACTAACTCATAGGGTTGGGAAGATTAAATAAAGGTAAGCGCTTAGAATGGTGCCTGACACAAAATCTTTGCTATGTGTTAGCTGCTGTTAACATTATGTTAGCATTGCCGTGATAAATATGGAGAAGGAACTTTCCCCACCGGTACACACTGGATCTGGATCTTGTACCTGCCCAAGTCCCCAAACAAAGGTGGGAGAACCCTAACCCGCCCGCTCCACGCCCCCCAGCACCAGCAGCCACTGCACCCGCACCCACGAAGATCTGCTTCTGGGAACCCCTCCCCAGCTGCGGTGCGCGCCCACACGTGGGGGCGCACTAGAAAGGTTGAGGGGTGCAAAGGCAAACTACACGCTCAAGAGCGCTGGTGCCTACCGCTCTTGGCTGTAGAGTGTATTCGGAGTGTTTTCCTACCTGCCCCAGGTTTTTGCCCTTCTTACTGCCGCCGAAAGCCAGTCCTTGGTATGTGCCCGCTGATCGATTGGCGGCCTGAGCAGGCGTCTCCCCGCCCAGAGAGGACTTGATGGAGTTGAGTTTGGCCCGCGAGCTGCCGAGCTGTGAGCTCTCCACCATCAGCACCGCGGCCAGTAGGAGCAGACAGCGGGACGAGTCCTTGCCCCGCATCAGCGCGGCCATTTCCCGGCGAGGGGTCCCCGGGGAGGCACAGAGCCCGGAGGGGTGCGGGTGCAAGGGGAGAGAGGACCCCAACACCGGGCCCCCTCACTCGGGGTGCGGGGGCTCGCAGGCTCTGTTCCCCCGACCCCACTCGGCTTCGGGGGCCCAGCACTGTGTGAATTCAGTCTCACGCCTCAGACCAGGAGCGAGAGCGACCCAAGCAAGACCCGCTTCTCCACCAGGGCAGGAAGTTCTGCAGGAACTGGAAGCAATCAAAGGCGAGGCGCTTTCTCGCCAAGGAGGCGTGACCCGAGGTGCAAGAAGACCCAGCCCCACAGACCGCACCGCTTCAGTTGCTCCTTGCCCCGCACCACTGTGTTCCCGCCGGATCTCCGCCGTCCAGTTCTCTTAATTGGTTCTGGAGGGCCACACCAGTTCCTTCGGCCTCAGTTGCTTTTCTCTCCTCTTTTCCTTCCTGACCCTTTAGTCTCAACCTTTGCAGAACACAGTAATAGCAGGAGCTATTGGGGAAGGGGGGGGGGGATCAAGAACGCCCCAGACAGGACTGTCGAGGTCTGAGGAGAGCCGAGGTCTCCCACGCGCGCTGGCACAGTCTTGACGAAGTGTCGCTCCCGGGTTCACACCCGGCCGCCTACCGCAGCCAGAGGCGCAGCAATGCCCTGGGAGCGGTCTTGCGCGCCGCACGGTCTCGCTCTCTCCGTTTGCTCTCTCACCGCCGCCCCCTTTGCTTTTTATAGCTTCCCACAGTGGGTTTTTTTTTTTTTCTCCGCCCCCAATTCAAGAGTGACAAAGAGAGTGAAAACGTTTCTCTCACCCCCCACGTTCCCGCCCCACTCCTCTGCTTCCCCCTGCGGCTCCCCCTCCTGCCTCTCCTTTTTGCCCCCCTCCCACACCCCTTTGCTCTCCACAACAACTGAGAAAATGGGATTCATTCCCAGGGGAACGTGAGGCCTCCTAATTCCTGACAACAGCTCTGGCGGGTGGAAAGACTTTTGGAAACAGACGGAGGGCAAAAGTGGAAGTGGAGAGGGGCAGGTTGCCACCGCCCTTGGGGACCGCCAGCGCCCTTCTTTAGGTTTCCCAACCCATCTCCGGTACTTGACTCCTAGAGGAGCACTAGAAAAGCCCCAATGGAAGGTTTGGAGAAGTGAGCATCTGGGCGTACAGAGCATGCGGTCTGTACGCGCAAGGGCCCAAGCTGGGTTTTAGTCTGTGCCTCCCAGTGTGTATGTGAGGCTGCGCTATGTTGTGCCAGGGGGTGCCCAACTGACGTGGACGGGGACTTTGCAACTGAGGAGAAGAGGACCAGAAAAAAAGGGAGCGATGTTCCTACGCTCACCCAGGAGACGTTTGGAATTTTCTAGTCTCCACCTTTTGTACCCCCAACTTCACGACCCCACCACACACGCAGCGTACGTTTACGTCTCCGCGGGGTTGGGAGAAATGGGGTGCCTTCAGTAGTGTCGGAGGGTTTCAGTCTCACAGCTTTACCGGGCGTCTCTACTGCGCTAGAGGAAATCCCAAACGGGAATGATGGGAGGCAAGGAAGCCTTGGAGGTCCTGCCTTCCTCAGCTCCCTTGCCTCTTAGCCTCTGGGAATTCCCCGGGAAGCCTTCCCTGCCAGTCCCAGGCTCCTCAGGTCGGGTTTGCCTCTGAGAAGGTGGAAGGAGGTGCAGAGAGGGGCTGGGACGCGCTGGCGCGCAGCGCTTGGGGGCGCCAGTGGCAGCGGCCCGCCGGGGTGCGGAAGCACTGGCAGGAGACAAGCTGTCCCAGGCAAGCACAGGGCTCGGGTTTGGAGCGGTTTGGTGGTTAAGCGCCAATGTTTCTAATGCAACGGGAAGGGTTATTTGGGAATTGTTGCATTTATCCTTTTCATGGTCTAACGCCTGTGCTCAGAGAAATTGAGACAGTGCCACAAGTTGGCAGCTCACAACTAGAGAACGAAGCTGATCTCCTGAACCGCTTTATAGATAGACCTGATCTTCAGACCGGGTTCCTCAGTTTTCATACCTGATGCAGTTGCACACGAGCGTGTACAGAAGTATACATTGAACATATTGTCTCTAAGTGAGAACGATAGTGACTCTTTTCCCCAAAAAAGGGCTGAGTTGTAAAGTGTGAATTTATGGCTGGGTTCTCCCAGACAGCACCCGCTTTGCATATTTCCTGCTCTGATCTGTGAGTCTGTCTGGCCTGGAATGCTTCAGTCTCAGATTTTTTTTTTTTTTTTTTTTTTTAACACCACAAGCAAAAGGGCATTAAAATTTAAGGAACCCTCTGGAATCTCTTCTTATCTTTGACTTGTGCTTTCTTAGGTTAGAGATTTTCACATTGAATTTTTTTTCCCCACTTTTTAAAAATATCCCTAGGAATGGATTTGTAAGGACAAAGGAACCATTCCAGGCACTAGTGGAAGGGAAGGAAACTCTATTAATAAGTACTCGTGATTCACTGTTTACACCTTAAAGAGGGTATTATCTTTTCCTGGGATATTCCAGTTGGAAAACATTTGAGTAAAGGAGAAAATTAAGTTAGAAGACTATTGGTTAGGAATTTTTCAAGAGTATTTTAGAGCAAAAGGAAAATTCAAAAGACAACTAAATATGTAGGCAAGAAGTCACTCTACATCCATTTGGAGGTTGTAAATATCCACCATCAGCTAAAGAAGGAACAAATGAACCAAGAGAAAATCTGAAGATACTTTGCTATTTCCATCAGTTCCCTCTTTTCTTACTTCCAACCAAAGCAAGATCCCATATAGTCATACCTAACTCTTGTCAATGCCCTGCTGAAAAGAAAAATGATATCAAGCTCAGCTTCTTTACTCTCACAAAAGCCTTCAGCTCTGAGTATCATGATAGAGATTATCTCAGAGGCTTACCCAACACCTTACAAGCTCCAAAAGCAAATTTTTACAAACCAGAGTTGAAAATCAAAGTTCACTTTTATGTGCACAGATATTTTCCCCCATATGTAAAACTAAATCACACTGTGGAATCATATGATACCACATACACGATTATACCAGAAAAAGAGGTAAAAACTAATTACAGTCATGATCCAAATGTTCTCTGTAAAACTGTATAACAGAAACAGACACACATAACCCACATGTAGATAAATAGATATGCATACACAAAATCAACTAACTGTAAATAAACATAATACTTTGGATTACTGTCATAACCACACATGTGTTTTCTCATGTATGTTTTTATAAGTACGAAGATACAAACTTCATATTGTACTTGGAAAAACATACTTTTATGCATTTTGCAATAACATCATTAGGGAGTAAACATATAAAAGCAACACTGTACAGAAGTAAGGATAGGGTTTTCTTATTCAGAAGAAAGTACCTCTATGAACACTTTTTCCTTTGGCCGTATTTTCCTTCTTTGCTCCTCCAGTCAGCTTGGTTCCATCAAAAAACCCACAAGTGTCTTAGTAGTTGTTTCTGGGTCCTGGTTCCCTTCTGACTACTTGGCCTCAAGGTGAGCTAAGGGCATACACATCATTCCTTTATTCTTGTTTTCTACCCCATTCTCTCTCTCCCTTCATTGGTAACCACTTCCTACATAAGTCTGTTTAGCAGTTGTTCATCCGTTCACTTCATATGTATTAAGTTTATGGTCCTGAAGATCCAAAGGTGCATAAGTCAGGGCCTTGGCTATGGAGAGGCTTGTGGTCCACTGTCAAGGCCTTGCCTCACTGAAGTCTGCCTCTTGCCCTTCTCAGGAGCCTTCCTCTGCTCTCATCTGCTACTGAATTCTGCCAACCTCGGTCTCTCACAGGGTATCAGGAACTTCTGCATTAGATTGAATTCATGTGACTGTGGAAACAAAAGAAATTAGAGATGTCCCCCAGAGTTTTTCCTTTTCTTATAAGTTGCATGTATACTTTTAGAGTGTGCAAAGAGACAATATTCTTACATTTGTGGTTGAACCCAAAGAAATGACACTAGTGTGGTCATTGTAGGTTGGTAAGAACAGAAATATGGTATTATGGCAAATTTGGGAAGGGAGAGTATATTTTAGTAGCCCCTTTAGAACACCAAATCATCTTGTCCACACAGGATAGATATGATAGACCTCCTTCTTGTTGGATGTTAAAAGATTTGAAAAATATGGTTATGTGGGTTTCCTCTCTCCATAGTAAACAAGGCCACCTGGTTCTCTATTCTAATAATACTCAACTCTTCGGATCTTATCACATGAGAATTTCATATTTCTCACTCTGCCTATAAAATAATAGTACCATGTGTTGCTGTCAATTACAGTTTAATTAACCTTCAGTAAATGTAAGTTAGCACTGGTATTGTGAACATTTTTTGTGTTTCTTGATAGGACTAATTTCCATACCAGATAGAAAATTTGCATTTCCTATTTGATCCCTGCCATATTTTCAGCTACTAACTCTTTTCTTCCTTGATTTCATGGACAAGACCAGCTAATGAGAAAAAAACCCATCACTTACAGTTTAGGTGCTAGCTATACTTGACACAAACACATATAAGTGAGATGGTTTAAGGGATTTCACAGTGAACCAGAAACATAATTCCTTAGTTAATGGCTTGGGCTTTGATCCTTGACATATTAATCATCTTCTCAATATGTTATCTGCCACTCAAATGAGAATTATTGAACAGATTCCCCCTAGCACCCTAGCCCAGCTAATAAAAAGTGAGCAAATATTATAGTCAAGAACTCAAGTGGATAAAACTCTACTGATTCTTGTGCATGTGAGAGACCTTTGGTGAAATGGAAATTAGAAACATTCTCCAAATGTTGAACACCAAGCCTTTCCTTTTGCAATGTGCAAATTTCTGCTTGTTCTATATACTGTGAATCCTTCCTGGTGGTCCACTTACTCCCACTGCTGAACTCTGGCAGGCTGTTTCAAGATTCATCTTTGGAAACTACTACACTTGGCTGTGAAAGGGAAACATGTTTAATTCTTAAGAGAGGTTTATTGTAAGAAATATCATCTTTGTGAGCAAGAAAACAAACAACTTCTCAATAATCTGGACCAGGGGCTTCCAAACTCTGCTTCTTAGGTCTCCAGAGTTCTAGAGAAGTTAAAGCTGCTGTATTTTTTTTTTTTATATATAGAAAGGGCTCCAGAAATGTGACTTTTTAAATATCTGCTTTTGTTGTTGTATCTATTTGGGGGAGGAATGTATTGCTTGATTGGTTGGTTTTAATCAACTGTTAACTGCTCAGATTAGAAGCCACAGTGAGTTAGGCAAAATGCTCTATGAGCCCTCAACCTGCCAACAACATGATGGGTTGATTTCTACCCTGTTATTATTACAGATTATTTCCAAAACAAGCATTAGTCAAATGGAGAAACTATTGAAAATCTGGCAATTTATACAGTCAGAAATGATTTGGTCACTTGAAGTAGAGAGTCTTAAAAAACAGAAGGGCAGGGTAGCTAATCCAGTCATGGTACAGTGTGCTTTTTCCCGTCAGTTATCTGAACCTATGACTAATGAC